CTTGAGGCATCCAAAAGGCATGTGTTCAGCTGTATAATACCAAAATGCACTTGTGAACACATTTGCAAGTGTACTGAAGTTATCAAATACAATCTACATACATACTGTACCTACATTATGCAATCAATTCTGCTTGTAGCATCACTGCATTGGGTTTAATAGATAGCACAATCTCGTTGAGAACCAACATATATCAGTACATAGGAACAAGAAAATAAAATGTATAAATAAAATATCTTTTTTTATATTTTGATGAATTAATCTCAACCTCAGTAGAACCCTCTCTGAATGGGAAACTTACATTTTAGCATTTTCAAGTACAATCAAAGCCAAGTTCTATGTAAACAGAAAAATTAATACAGTACAGTAAACTGTAAATCAGAGCTGGTTAAAAATACTGAACTTCACAAGATGAAGGTTACAGTTCTAAATTGCTGCCATACTATATTCTGAATTCCAGGAGGCTTAAATGCATATTTATCATTAATATTCTCATTACAGTACTACACAATTTCCCTCTCATTTGGTAGGGAAGCCCTCACCCAGAAATGACATAAGTATTGAGACTGTGTGTATTGAGAGTACTGAGAAAGTATCCAGTGTTAAATGATATAGGGTGACCTAAAAGAAACATTGTAGTATCTATGAAGATGACTGTAACAAAATATTACACATAGTAAGTAATTATCAAAAGAAGGCACCAAGCCAGGGCTAGCATATGATACATAGCATATGATATGATACATAGGGCTAGCATATGATACATAACATGGCAACATGAAAAAATGGAACTGTTCATATTAACCCCCTGAACTGCACAGCTATATAAACGTACTACGTCAAGGGGCACCTTACTAAAAATAGATAATTTATCAAATGGAAAAATTGCACATGACAATTGGAGCAGCACGAGGGTTAAGGTAGGATAAAAATCAAAACCATACACTTCACTTACCATGAGATTCTTGGCAAAAAATATGCCAGGCAAGCACTTGGAAGGGATCAGGATAAGGATTTGGGATGGGACAGAGAAAAGGAATGGTGCCCAATCACTTGGACAGTCAGGGATTGAATGCCAACCTGCATGCTTATAGAAAGATGCTGTAATTATAATTATATCAAGAGAATCTATTTTGTCAATCAAGATGAAGTGATCAAGAGACTGCAAAGTCTGGCATTGCTAGAAAACAAAATTGATACATTAAACTCATGATTAATAATACTCCCAAATATGAAGTTATTTAAGAAATTAAGTACATACATACATAGTATTTTAATTCAAGACATTATAACACTATTGGGTGATAGATAAATTTACCATTATGTGATGGGAAATTGGAAGGCTAGAATCTGAACAGAAGTGAGTGTGTGCAAAGGTACCTTTTTTGCAAGGTAAAAAAAAGATACTAACAAGACTCAATTCAATCCCCATAACTTCCTAACACCAAAAAAATTCCAACACTTAAATCAACTAAGTCTTATATATTTTCAGTGATTTTTCATCTACAAAACTATCTTAAAACAAGTGCTGCTCATAACTAGCTGATTTCACCTTAAGATTGATTTCTTAACACTTCTTGTATATTGTCCACACCTATCCTTGCTTCCTCACGCTCATTACCATATCTAATTGTCTCTTATCTTCCTGGCTGCCTTCTACAATTACTATCAAATACTGTATACCTGAATACACTCTCTTCACATATTAATTATAATTAAATATGACCAAACCCTTTAAATAGAAACTTTCCTCAATCTTGCAGTTTATAGGCTTGTACTAAACACCTTTCCAAGACATTTTTACTCCTTGCACTAATGTTTTTTTTAAGTTTTGAACAAGATTAAAAGATTAGGATGTCTAAGGAAGTGAACATCTTAAATGTATAAAAATTATGTAAGCCCAGACAAACAAGGTATACCTGAACAGAAAAAAAAAAATTTCAAGATACAACTTGGACAGTGTCTGGGAAATGGAACAAGACCAAAGCTATGTGGTGACACTGGTGATGAAAAGATAACATGGAATTTGGAAAAGCCTTCAGTCTGCAAGTAGGGAGATGAAAGATAAAGAGGAAATGCAAAAATGAAGACTGGTGATCAATGTTTTTTAAAACTTATATAATATATGTGTGTATATATACTGTGCAAGCATGCATGCATGCATGATATTATATATATATATATATATATATATATATATATATATATATATATATATATATATATATATATATATATATATATATATATATATATATATATATATATATATATATATATATATATATATATATATATATATATATATATATATATATATATATATATATATATATATATATATATATATATATATATATATATATATATATATATATATATATATATATATATATATATATGTATGTCTCATTGAATATGACCGCATATTCTGTATTTACAGGTACTATATTCTGATTTAGTGCTTCTATCCCTCTAACTATTTTCTTAGCATCAGGGTTTAGCTGAAAGAGGAGTTCTCCAAAACTCATTTTCGTAATTTCAAGGTGAAGAAAAGAAGTGAATTACTATAGAATGTATTACACTTATTTATACAATTTGCACAACGTTTCGAACCTCCATGGTTCATTCTCAAGTGAAAAGAATTTTCAGGACTGGTTGATTTATACCCACACTGGGTCAGGTGATAAGACAATAAAGGTGAAAACATGAGGGGGATATATAAGGGATAAATGGGGGGTGAAACATAAGAATAGAGGTAACTGTGGAAGGCCTATTGGCCCATACGAGGCAGCTCCTATCTACGTACAAAGATTAATCAGGTGTAATTGGCCTGTTATGTTGAAGTGTCTTCTGTGTTGGCATTGTTATGTTCTGGTCTTGTCCTTACTCTCATGGTGGGTAGAGTAAATAGTTCCGTGATTTGGGTGTTCATGGTAGGTTGTTCTATTCTTATGTGAATTGCTTCAAGAATTTGTAATCTTCTCGCATCTTGGGTTTTGTCTATTATACAGATATTTTTGTTCAACATTTCTCTTGTTAGGGTGATGTCATGGGCTTGTCATGTGATTCCTGGGGGCACCGGATTGAAGATGGCATGTCAAATGCCTCTTCAGCTTGGTCGACGTCCTACCTATGTACTTAAGATTGAAGGTTACATCCTTCGTGGGGGCAAGTGTACATGTATACAACGCTTGACTGCTGTAGAGGGTTCTCCGTCGGCTTCGGGCTGTTTTTGATAAGGAGTTCAGAAGTCTTCTTGGTTTTGTAGAATATTATCAGGTTTATGTTTTGGTTAGGAGTAATGCTTTTTACTCCTTCACGGATTATTTCTTTCATTATTCTTTCCTCTTTTATATGTTCACTGTGCATGGTTGATTTGTAATATAATTTTATTGGAGGTACTGTATTGTGGTTTCTGTTCTAGGTTCAGGATTATACCATCGGTCCAAGTGTCTTCTTATAGCAGCGTTTATTTCCGCGTTGCTATATCCGTTGTTCACCAATACCTGAGTTACTCTTTCAAACTCTCTACTCACGTTGCTCCATTCGGAGCAGTGGGTAAGCGCTCGACGAATATAAGCATTGAGAACACTGGCTTTGTATCTTTGCGGGCACTCACTTCTACCATTCAGGCATAATCCTATGTTAGTGGGCGTAGTATATACGTTGGTGCTTAAAGAGGTTCCTGTTTTTGTTGTTAGTACATCCAAGAATGGCAGACTGTTATTTTCACTATTTTCATGTGTAAATCGGAGTACTGACTCTCTCTCTAGATGGCTTTTTAGATCAATTAGTTCATCTGAGTCTTTTACTATTACGAATATGTCATCTACATAACGGCAATATACAGTTGATTTTTGTCTGCTACTGAAGACTCTGTCTTCGATGGTTCCCATATAAAAATTAGCAAATAAAACTTCTAAGGGGAAGTCCATTGCTACTCCGTCTATTTGTAAATACATGTCTCCTTGTGGACTGATGAAAGGGGCTTCTTTTGTACATGCTTCAAGAAGACTCTTCAAGTGTTGCTCAGGTGTAATGTATAAGTGTAATACATTCTATAGTAATTCACTTCTTTTCTTCACCTTGAAATTACGAAAATGAGTTTTGGAGAACTCCTCTTTCAGCTAAGTCCTGATGCTAAGAAAATAGTTAGAGGGATAGAAGCCCTAAATCAGAAGAGAGTAAATACAGAATATGCGGTCATATTCAATGAGACATGTTTAAAAGAAAACCTGCTGCCAGTATACACACACACACACACGTGCGTGCGTGTGTGTGTGTGTGTGTGTGTGTGTGTACTGGCAGCAGGTTTTCTTTTAAACAAGTCTCATTGAATATGACCGCATATTCTGTATTTACTCTCTTCTGATACAGACAGAGAGATAGATAGACAGATAGACAGATAGACAGATAGATAATTATATTTATATATATATATATATATATATATATATATATATATATATATATATATATATATATACTGTATATATATATATATATATATATATATATATATACTGTATATATATATATATATATATATATATATATATATATATATATATATATATATATATATATGTCGTACCTAGTAGCCAGAACTCACTTCTCAGCCTACTATGCAAGGCCCGATTTGCCTAATAAGCCAAGTTTTCATGAATTAATGTTTTTTCGTCTACCTAACCAACCTAACCTAACGTAACCTAGCTTTTTTTGGCTACCTAACCTAACATTACCTATAAAGATAGGTTAGGTTAGGTTAGGTAGGGTTGGTTAGGTTCGATCGTATATCTACGTTAATTTTAAATCCAATAAAAAAAAATTTACCTCATACATAATGAAATGGGTAGCTTTATCATTTCATAAGAAAAAAATTAGAGAAAATATATTAATTCAGGGAAACTTGGCTTATTAGGCAAATCGGGCCTTGCATAGTAGGCTGAGAAGTGAGTTCTGGCTACTAGGTACGACATATATATATATATATATATATATATATATATATATATATAGTAGGCTAGCAAAGTGTGGCATATTTTTTTTTTACAAAACAATGGTGGATTAAGATAATTGTAAAATGCAGAAATTTGAAACACAGGGACAGTTATTTTGGGCAAAGTACAATATACTGAACCAATAAAAACATGTATACAAAGTTAGAAAGTGCAATATGTAATTATCAAACTAAGGCACCAAGCTGAGAAGACTACCTAGGAGCTAGAAAGCCTGACCAAAAAAAATAAATAAAAGTAAGTCATAGGTGAATGGAAGCAATAATCGAGACATGCCATAAACAACCTAGAAATAGTGTATACGCATGCCCACACACACACACACATTAGGGGGCTTGACAGCTGAGTGGACAGCGCTCAGGATTCATGGTTCTAAGGGACCATGAATCCCGAAGGGACCTTTCACCCAGATGCCCCTGTTTACCTAGCAGTAAATAGGTACCTGGGAGTTAGACAGCTGCTACAGGCTGCTTCCTAGGTGCGTGTGTGTGTGAAAAAAAATCAGTTGATTGACAGTTGAGAGGCAGGCCACAAGAGCCAGACCTCAACCCACTCCCCCCACAAGCACAACTAGGTGAGTACACATGCAATGACATTAGGAATAACATCATAAGTATAAAGTACACTGGAATAGTTGAATAAGCTAAAACTAGAGGTTCAGAAGTAAAGGTTGAATCAACATATGAATTTAATATTAGATAGATACAACCTAAGAAACTAGCAATCAACAATGAATGTCTAGATCAGCATTTCTCAACCTTTGTACTCTTAAAATAATTACAGGTCTTACTTAAGATAAATGTGTGGATATCATTATCAACTGAAAGGCGACGATTTCTGTTTTTGTGCTTGACACTGATTAAATGAGAAAAATTAAATACAAAAATTTCAAAAAAAAATTTGAATATGATTAAAATTAACCTATTTATCACTATCTCTTGCAGAACCCCTAGTTACTTTGGGATATGTGGAATCCTGGTTGAGAAATGCTGATCTAGAGTAAAGAGACAGTCATAGGAGCTGAACACACACACACACAGCTGAGAAAACACAGTACATAAACAGACACAACTGGGTCAGCACAAGGTATTAACACTGTGCCTACATGCATGCATGCACACACACACACCTGATAAGCTGCAAATGTGCCTTTCTTTACAACATAATATGGTGTCAACATACTAAATTACTTGAGAAGAGAAAGTAAGTTTTTGTTTAAACTAATTTTTTCTGCAAAAATTGTAGAATTGCAATACTGTACCTCTATTAAAAGTACTATATGTCACAGCAATCATAAGTTAGTTTTAAAAAAATTACATTTCTCACAATGTATTCAGAATGAACAAAATCATTATATTCATGGATTACATTTTATAATTCATAATCACATTTATAACACATACAAAACTGATTTAAATACACCATAGTCAGTATACAGCCAAGTACGCCATACATTAAAAGCATTGAGCAAACGGGTTCATAAAGACCTCAAATTACAATTAATAAATAAAAGTTTTCTAGTTCATAGGAATATTTTACACAAAAATATAACAGAGACAAAAAAAGCACTTTATTACTCAACAGTATCTAACTGCTTACGGCTTCTAAAGAACCTTTTGGCATATTCATACGAAGAGATCATGATGCCACATGCTGGCATCACTTTCGCTAATCGCGGAACCAGACCTGAGAACAAGCCCTTTACGCCCTGCTGTCTGTAGATGTTTGCCAGCATCTGCTTGGTTGAGCCAGAACTTTTGATGTTATCTGAGGAAACAAAAAAACTTTTATGCTCCCTACCACATGAAAGTGGGAAATGAGTATAATGATAATGATTGAATATACTGTGTAGCCCTATAAAAATTAACTACAATTATTTTATACTGCCCAGTAGTACTAGTATCATATAAAAAAAGATATGCATAATTATTCATCAAATTTTAATACATTAATGGATCTTCACGAGGAGAGAGGTCTACGATGGGTAGCTTATAAAGATCACACATCTTACCCATTTATGAATGGGGTTCTCAAAACTAAATAACTGCATACAGTTAAGAGTACAGTATTAAGACAAAACCTTTAACCCTTTTAAGTACTAATGAATACATCACTGCACTGCATAGAGCGCCTTGTGGCACTAGATCGAGGGTGCGCAGAGCATCATGTGGCGTTTCTAGGTTTCTAGGTCTAGGGAGCGATTCAAAGCTCCTGCGGGTACATGGAGCTCACAACCTGTGTCTCAGGACTCTTATAAACAGACGCTATCTTGAAAAAAATTTGTTAGCATCCGTGCTGGCTGTGAGAGCCTCAGTACTGAGAGAGTGACCAAGGCTGGTACATGCAGAAGCCGCACACAGCACCGCTGAGCAGCTAGGGGCCACAGCACCACTTAGTAAAGATGAATAAAATAGGTAACAAAGTATTTTGCATTGATAGTGTTATAGATGATCCTGACTGTCATATAAACTATGTATAATGTTCAGATATAAGTAAACACAATGTCAGTTATGATATTCACAGCATGAGGTAGAGAGAGAGCATCCAGCCATTGTTTCCTGGGGGAAACAATATATATATATAGGGGGGGGGGGCCCTATATATGGGGGGCCTCGTAGCCTGGTGGATAGCGCGCAGGACTCGTAATTCTGTGGCGCGGGTTCGATTCCCGCACGAGGCAGAAACAAATGGGTAAAGTTTCTTTCACCCAGAATGCCCCTGTTACCTAGCAGTAAATAGGTACCTGGGTGTTAGTCAGCTGTCACAGGCTGCTTCCTGGGGTTGGAGCCTGGTCGAGGACCAGGCCGCGGGGACACTAAAGCCCCGAAATCATCTCAAGATAACCTCAAGATAGTGTAATAACAGCAAAAGAAGTGTTGGGAGAAACCATTTTGGTGAGGGCGGTGGCATCATCTTCCTGACTTGTCATGTTGTGTAAGGGTGGCCACTATGCTCTTTGTGCACTGTGCCAGCTTAGATGAACAGTTATGGTAAACAAAACATGTAGATACTTATATATGTCTGTATATAGTGAATAAAAGCAAAAACAGTACAGTGGGATTAGGATGTTGGCGAGTGAGAGGTTTTTGAGGGAGGGAGTGGCAGCGAGTGGCTATTCCTCGTTGCTTTTTGACTCACCATATCAACTTAGTGGTTCGTTATGGTGAACAAAACATGCAGATACTTATATATATATAACCTGTGAATATAGTGTAATAACCGCAAAAGTATTTGATCATTGTTTCAAAAACATAATAATTGAATCAATAATATGCACACCATAATTTTGAGTACAGCGATGATTCACACATTTTATTATATAAATATATCAAACTACACACTGTTGAATAATATTACTGCAAAAAAATAAGAAAAAATCAGAGACATTGAAATAATTAGGTAATAATATCTTTGTGGCAACTCTTGTCTGACAGCGGGGTCAAAGCAGACCGCCTCCGGCACTTGCTCTGTCAACGCCTCTTTTTTGCCAATTTCTCCGCCCTATTGCAACCAAAATAAGCCACATGATTTTTTTTATTATTTTCCCGTGATCAGAGAACACAAATTAACATCTTCATAAGACGAAATATTTTTTTAAATTTTTGTTGTTGTTGCGCCTGTGGGTGTTGAAAGCCAAATAGCCCAGAGCAGCTTAGTATAGGATATATATACAGTATAGGATATACATATATATAACAATACAGTATTGGAAGAGAAAATAATTTTTGCAAAGAATTTATTTTCGGCGCACTATGGGAATGTCATATTTTACACAGCGCTGCATGGTGGTTAATGCAATATAATTTACAATACAACTTCATACCCTGTCCTACTCAGCCATGATTACATTTCTCCTGAAGATTTCTTTTTGGGTTCAATGATACCTAAAGACCTACTGACAATTTTGAGAACTTTTATCTTTTTGATTTACATATTTAAAATATACCAATAATATAACTGTAACCTGCTTAAAAGAACAGTATGTAATTATCAAAAAAGGTGCCAAGCCAGGAAGACTATGTATCATCTAAGTCACACAGGATTCAAAAGGTGCTAAATATCATTCATGTTGCTAATATGAGAACAAAAGGAAATTAGGCAAATGATATCAAAGTTATTGGAATCACCGAGAATGCTAACGCGAGATAACTTACCTCTAGGGACATAAGGAAAGCTAGACATCTTGAAAATTAGGGAAACTGACAAGGTGTAAAACTGTAAGCCAGACAACACAGTTAGGACAAAAGGAAACCTGCTTAAAATGACACGTTTGTTTTTCTCACGATAAATGTTATTGTCCAGATAAGACCTGAAATAACTCTGACCTGAAAAGAGCTCCTTCTCACCAATTTCTATTTGCCTGTGTGTTTTGATCACATCCAGTGGAAGAGTGAGGGCTCCTGCAATCTGAAAGAAAAACAAAATAAAACTCTCATCATTACAGTATATGAAATAATGTTGATCATTCATAAAAGCACTACTGATGGAGTGATGTATATAATATATGGCTTTTATAGTTTAGAAAATGTTTAAATCATCTTTATATCCTGTGCCTGTGTTACCTTAAACTGCCCCTCCACTAAAGTTATTTATTACAACCATACCTTTTACATAGGTCTGAAATTTTTGCCATGCCTGCCTCTTTATATAGGCCTATGACTTTGGTACTAACATAACTTATTTCAATTTGCACCATTATTTAAATACCAAAGTAAATCATTACTAAAAAATTAAATGATTTAAAGAATAATTAATGAAAACATTACTACAACAATTGAACTAACTAAAGCAGTACAAAACACTCCTGCATAAACATGGTTAAAGAAAACAATGAACCTCACCCCTCCAGAGACTGCTCCGGCAAACAGTGAAAAGTTAACTGTTGGTTGCTGCTGGTTTGCATATGTTTTCATATTCTCATAGGAAAACCAATATATAACTGAAATACAGTATATATAAAATAATTAATTACACAAATATAACTAATTATGGATACAAGAAAGTTCTAGTTGCTTAAGAGCAAACATTTCTGTTATATAAATAGCGAAACTATAAAATATGAGAAACAAAATTACTGTGGCTACATCAGTCTTATAATGGGAAAAATTAACATTTTAGCAGCCACAGCTATTTATCATTAATTTGGTCCAGTGTACTTAAATGTTTACTGTACTGCTCATAAGTGCCAAATAAAGGACCTCAATCTGCATAAGTATATTAACCTATTAACATTCTCCATTATCAATCATAATGTTGGTGTTATCAGGTAATGCAATTTTAATTAAAAACCTGGGTTAGCTTTTAATTTAGACATGTAATATTTCTGTGGGTGAAATGTCTCGACATCTATAGATCTGTACTAGGGTGTGAAGATTTGTTTTGCGTTGAATTCTCTGGATGTCGTCATTTATTTCTAATGTCTCCATAGGTATTACACGTACAGGTCATTTTTCTGGGGGGAGCCCCGTCGGCTCCCCGGAGCTTTACCGGCTGATATGCTAATGTCAGACTTTGGCATCAGTCATGTGTATGGAGTTCTAGGGCCTACCGGGGACCACGAGCCAGAACCTGGCCCCCTCAGAGAGGCAAGGGGAGCAATGGCCTATAGAAACCCCCGTGTGGTTGGAAGCATTCTATGTCTGCCATCGACCGGGTCAAGCATCCAGAAAGGTAAGCATTCCAAAACAAACCCCTATTCTGGTGAAAATTGCTACCTAAGCCGAACTAGTGAATAGAACTCTTCAACAGAAAACACGGAAACTAGTATGACGTCATACGTCACCGCGCCGCTGTCTGCGCAGCTCCCCCCTCCCCGGGAGGGGGAAGGGGGAGCCCCAGACCTCCCACGCCGGCTATCCACCCATCAGTTCTTCGGCTGATGCTATAGGCAATGGTTATGTGCTCCGGCTCCAGTGGTTGTTTCAGCACTGTACCTAGAGTGTGGTGTCTGTTTTCTAGGTGGTGCGTGAGCCGGGTGTGATTCTTCAGTACTCGGGCTGCATGCGCCTAGGGTTCCCTTCCCTAGGTGCCCTGTAAGTACTGCCCTTGGGGCTTGGGGCCACCTTCCACAAGTTCCTTGGGTCCTGCCCCTGCTTGGCCGTTTACCGCTTGGTTTTCGGCCGCTCTTTGTGTGCTCGGGTGTTCTGTCTCCCTTGTTCGCCTTAGAGTAAGGGGCAGTGTTTGCACTGGTGGGGCGCGGGGTACTGTGCAGCTTGTCTTTACCAATCATAGCGGCCGGCTCTGTTCCGCTTGGGTACGCTGTCCTCTTGCGGGGTTTTCTTTTTCTTTTGTTTATATACCTGGTGGGGGGGTCTGCCTTCGTTCTTGCCCCTTGTGTCCCTTGTGTTCTGAGTATTTCTGGTGGTACCCCCTGCTAGGTCCCCGTGAGTGTACACGTCCCGGGGGTTCAGCTCTTAGAAAGTTGTTTGGTAGCTTGGGTGCCGGTTAGCAGTACCCTGCCTGGGATTACCTGAGCGCGAGTCCTCTTAAAGTAAACGCTCGGGACCCTGGGAAACCCCTGGGGGCGCGCGGGTCCGATGGATGTGACCCCAGAGCCCCCCCCTCGCTTCCAGCGAGTTTGAGGGTTGCTCTCACCTTTTGTCTCTGGGTGACTCTCTGTTTTGCCTCCGTCTGCTGCCTGTGGGGTCGGTGACACCTTCGACCCGGTGTCCTGCGAGTTTGGTTGCTCGTTGTGGCTCGGTTACCCAGTTGTGCTAACAAAGCGGGTGCGGGCAGCAGGGGCGTTGCACTTGAGCCTTGGTGGTGGCAACGTTCTCGTGGTTTCCTCCCCGGGAGCCCCGGGGCTGCCCCGTTGTATTTCGTTTTTCCCCTGGTTCACCCTTCCTGCCTGCATCCGGTTCCTTACCGTCTGTAGGTTCAGGGCGGGGTGTTTGGTGGTGTTGAGACTCGGGCAGTCTCGGGGAATTCCCCTTCCGGGGTAGTGACGGGGGCATTTGGGCCTGTTCCTCCAGCCGTGTTGTATGAGTCTGCCAGTGGGCTCCCTTCCTTAGTGTTTTCACGGCTGCCCCGGTTTTCTGGTACGGCCGGGGCTTTGGGGGAACGGCTCGGCCCCGGGGCCTGTCGTGTAGGTTCCCGGGGCTGGGGAGGGGCTGACTTGGGGGGCCTTGGCCCCGTTAGACCCCGTGGGGGGTTTTATCCCCCTCTAGGCGGGGCTTGTGGTTACGCGGAGTGGGGTTTTTCCTCCCCACTCGCCGTACGTGCTGTTGGACGTCGGCCCCTCCCCGGGCTCGGTTCCTTGGCCTTTGAGTCGGTTGGTTCCGTCCTGTGGGTGGATGTTTCCTCCCCCGCTTTTTGGGACGGTGTTTTTGTCATGTTTCCCCGTTCGATGGGGTTCTGCGTGACTTTTGATCTCGGGTGCGCCTGCGCCTTCGTGTGCCTTCGGGACTAGTGTTGGCTTCTGTGTTCTCGAGGGTACGGGAAGGTTTTTCGCTACTTCCCGCATTATTGGAACGTCTGTCGGCTCCTAGTACTTGTCGCCCTGTTGGGCTACTTGTCGCCCTGTTGGGCTACTTGTCGCCCTGTTGGGCTACTTGTCGCCCTGTTGGGCTACTTGTCGCCCTGTTGGGCTACTTGTCGCCCGGTTGGGCTACTTGTCGCCCGGTTGGGCTACTTGTCGGCCGTTTGGGCTACTTGTCGCCCGTTTGGGCTACTTGTCGCCCGTTTGGGTTCCCTTTTTTTGGGCTCTTTGCTTCTTTGGCCGGTTTTCTTGTTCCTGCTTCCTCTTTTGGCTCTTTTTCTCGTGCAATAGTCCTGGCTGGCGCCTTCCCGCAGGGAGGGTGTGCGGTTCGGCCAGCGTGTTATGCGCATGCGCCGTGGAGTTTGTTTTGGTCTGGGCGATGGTTCAGTGCTGGGGTTTTGCGCCCTTTTTTGCTACAGTGCTTCGCCTCTCGTTCTTCTCCCTGGCTGCGGTATGTGCCCCTTTGCGCCAGGGGTGTCCTGGTTCCCAGTTGTGGGGAGGACACCGCGGTTTTCTGTGTCATGGGTGTGGACCGCCTCCTTCGCCTCTCCCTGTTCTCCTGCGGGTCCGGCTCTGGCGTCTTCACCTGGCGGTGCTCCCAAGTTCTTCTGGGCACGGTTGAGTCGTGTCAAGTTCGAGCCACCATTCGCCAGGTGAGTTTCTGCGGTCTGGCGTCTTTTGGCCGGGCGCTGGATGCGGCGGTGTTCATATACCTGTCTTTATTTAGGTATAATTTTGTACGACTGAGACCGTTCGCACACCAGTGACTGTCCCTTTATCACCCCTTCCTGTCCCCCTCCTGTGCATGTCCAACCCATGCTACAGTCGTTCAGGGGACCCTCCTTTTTTAATGTTGTGAGGTGTGGGGGTTGTAGGGTTGGTTCTGTACTCACCTGGTGAGGCTCCTGGCTGTGCTTGCAGGATTTGAGCTCTGGCTCTTGGGTCCCGCCTATCTGGTAGAACTTGCGGGATAGTACCAGTGGAGTGCAGTGGTGCTATTGGCACTTTTGGGGAACACTGTATTACCATCAGTGGTCTGTGCTTGTTACACGACCTACTTGCGAGCATAAGCCTTCTTGCTGGTTCGTCCGTGGACTTCCAGGGCGCACTGGCCTGTTTTCGTATGGCAGTTCCGGCCCGTCCTGGTTGTGGGGGTATGTGGGCCGGTGGACTGCTCCTAGCAGCTGCCTGGTGGGCCATCCTCTGGCCGGTCTGGCCTGACCTTGGGCCGGGCTTGAGGTGTAAAAGAGCTCCCAGTACCTCATCCAGCAGGTATCGAGCGGGGTTTCTCCGCCGTCGGTCGCCTGGTGCAGGTTTCTGGGCCTGCAGGGTTTTGTCGTGTCTCCGTTGGCCCTGTCTGGGGTCTGCCTGCTCCGTTCTCTGCCTTTGCAGAGGGGAGTTGCTATTTACATGTTGCATGTTGCAGTGGTGCCTGTTGCTGCTGCTGCTGCACGTGAGCATTGGTACCGTGTTTCACGGTGGCGTGTCCTTGTTCCTGTGTCCGGTTGTGGAGTGGCGCTTTGCTGCCGTTTTGTGCCTGGGGATTGCGTGGGGTTTTTGTCCCTGCCTGATTGTCCACCCCTGGTTGTTCTCCTGTTTTTTTTTTTTTTTGTGCTTCTGCTCTTTCTTCCTGCCTCTTCTGCAGCAGGAATGTTCTGCGTGTGTTCTTAGGCGTTGGTCAGCCTGTGTCCTGTGATGTGCTTCTTTGTTTCGGTCTGTTGCAGTTGTTCGGGCCCCTTGGTTCGGGTCCTGTTCTGGCGGCGACCCTTCCGCCTTCTTTGGTTTTCCTAGCTTGCCCTGCCGGTTGTTGTTGTTGTTTTATTTTTTTTGGGGGGGTTCTTGCGATGTCTCGCGTCGGACCCGTCGTTTCTGAACTCCTGGCGGGCTTGCATGCTTCGGAGTTTTTCTGTTCGGCAGACGTTCCATCTCCTTGTGCCGCCTGGGTTTCGGTGGTCGCGCCCGAGATCTTCTCGCGGCTCCGCCTTTTTCCTGGGCTCGGGGGGGCCTTGTCGGGGCTGCTTATGTTCTGCCTCGTGGTCTCGCCTCCGGTTGGTGGTCGGGTGGCTTCGTGGTAGGTGTCCCACCTGCGTGCTTCTTGGCGGCAGTATGGGGTATTTTGGCGGTCCTTCCTTTTCCTGTCCCTTCTTCGGTGGGTCCTTCTTGTTGGCTTGGTTTACTCTCGGCTTGGTTTTCTAGTGGGGGTTGGGGGCCGTCGTCTTGCCACATACTGTCGCCTCTTTTCGTGCGGCGCAGGCGGAGCCGCTTCAGCTTGCTTTCGGTCTTGGTGTTGCTTCTGCACCGTTAGTCAGCTGTCTTGTGCGTCATTTCACCTCCGGCCTGTTCGTGCGCCGCTTGCACCATCCTGGTCTCTGGTCAGCGTGCTCTGTCTTCTCCTCGGTTGGTAGTGCCCCTTCGGTTCCGGTGTGTTTTTTCGTCGGCTCTTTCCTTTGGGCCTTTGCCTCTGGGGGTCGGTTCGCTGTGTTTTCTTGCTCCTTCGGTTTTAGCGTTTTGGTTGTTTGATGGCAGCAGTCTCCATCTTTTCTGGCGCGGGGTGGGGCTGCTGCATTCTGGAGGGGTCCAGGGTTTGTTGGTGCTTTGTTGGTCGGGCCGGGGGTGTGTCGTTTTTGTGTTCAGTGGCGGCCCTCTGCTGTTGTTTGCGTGCCACGGCGTTTGGGTCCGGAGCGCGTTTTGCGTTGATCCGGTTCTGTTCTTCCCGGTTCGCGGGTGATGGTGTCCCAGGTGGTCAGCCGTGTTCTTGTGGCTAAGCTGCCTGTGTTCTTCCCTTATGCCTGTGGCGTTCGTGGCTTCGCTGCTCTCGCTGCCGTCTGGGCGACGTGGCCTTGCAGTCTTTCGGGCATGGATTTTTGGTGTTCGTGCAGGGGCCTTGCTGCTCGTGGTTCTCGTGTTGTTCCCGGGATTTTCGGGGCTGTGGCGCCTTGGGTTGGCGTTTGCTGCCGGTTGTCTCGCCTCCTTGGGGGGTGCGTGGTGTCCGCCTCCCGGTTTTGTCCCTTTGACCTTCCTCTGTGGGTAGTTAGCTCCGGGGAGCCGACGGGGCTCCCCCCAGAAAACCAGCGTTGAATGTAATGAAACGCCATTTTCTGGGTGAGACCCGGAGGCTCCCCGGCAACCCTCCCTCCCTCCGGTCGGCGTTTTTCGCGTGTTTTGACATCCAGCCTCAGAACTGATGGGTGGATAGCCGGCGTGGGAGGTCTGGGGCTCCCCCTTCCCCCTCCCGGGGAGGGGGGAGCTGCGCAGACAGCGGCGCGGTGACGTATGACGTCATACTAGTTTCCGTGTTTTCTGTTGAAGAGTTCTATTCACTAGTTCGGCTTAGGTAGCAATTTTCACCAGAATAGGGGTTTGTTTTGGAATGCTTACCTTTCTGGATGCTTGACCCGGTCGATGGCAGACATAGAATGCTTCCAACCACACGGGGGTTTCTATAGGCCATTGCTCCCCTTGCCTCTCTGAGGGGGCCAGGTTCTGGCTCGTGGTCCCCGGTAGGCCCTAGAACTCCATACACATGACTGATGCCAAAGTCTGACATTAGCATATCAGCCGGTAAAGCTCCGGGGAGCCTCCGGGTCTCACCCAGAAAATGGCGTTTCATTACATTCAACGCTGGTTTTTTTTCCATTATATTAATTTAGTTTCTTTTAAAATGCTACTTTATGAAGGAAATCTGAATGCACAGTATAGCATTATGACATTATTATTAATGTTTCTTTAATCCTTTGGCCTCGTCTTTAGTGTAAAGCCAAACGAAGATTACAAAAAACCATTCCAGTAACTAAATTTTTATCTCACGAATGCTCAAACTGCATAAAATTGCAATGTGTAGATTCAGAATTTGACTATAAAGTTACTAATATAAAAAGAATGATTTGTAATAATGTTGCTTACAATCACAGCAATCAGCATTTTCAACAAAAATTTATTACAAGAAATATTTATTTCAGATTTATTACATAACTTCAAAATATGCATAGTCAGTACTGCATGCTAATCTTAAGGAATAAAAAAATGTGCAAGTAACAAAAAGAGTACCAGAAATGTACATAAAGGCACTAAAATCACGGGAAATGAAGACTGATATCTTTTATCATAAAGAACCCGATATTAAAAGTGGTTCGTTGTTTAACATGCTAATAGGTCAAATAACGGTGATAAAACTTTCCACTAACCTTTATAAGGCATACTCTTTGCTTGCATCTTTGTCCTTACAAGTTCAAAAGGTGAGACGACACTAACAGCCCATATTCTTGCCAAGCCTCCTGCTACTCCTCCTACCCAAGAAGGAGGGTCTATCCCATTTCCTGGTAAGTATCTAAGAGAAGCTGTACGAAGCTGTTCATAAGTTGTGAAGTATATGACAGTATTAGGTATTGCAACAACAAGTGTGGGTGGCAGGCCTGACCAAAGAGACTGAATTCCTTCATTTCTGGATATCTTAACAAAGGCATCCTGAAAAAATATTAAAACAAATATAAATAAAGTATAAGTAAAAATAAACAAAATTTTGCAAACGAGAAACAAAAACACACAGTACAGTATATATTTAAACAACAATGGTGAATGCAATAAAAATTATCTTTGTTACCACTGTTCCGTTAAGATGTACTGGAATTGGACGATTGTACCAATTATGATTCTCAGTATGGGTGGGTATAGATGCTGCACAATTACAGATGTGGTCCATCAAACCATTACAGTAGAGAAAGCACGTCCGGCTAAGTTGTGCTCTCTGTTGAGCCTGTAATCGTACCTTCACAACATCAAAGGGTGTCACTGAAAGTAGAAAATCAAGTCCACTACTCTCAACAATGTTCACACGCTTACAGTCTGAAGCACTCAATTAAAATATAATTAATATATCTGAAACTATTAAATTCCACTAACATCCAGAGAATTTGCTTACGAAACAAGACTAATCAGGCTATCTATCAAGATTTTAGACAATCATATGCAATTACAAAATCACCCCAACCCACACATATTAAATAATGTTGTAAATAATGAATTAAAAAAAGTCCACTTATGGATGTCAACCAACAAACTCACACTAAACATAGAAAAGACCTACTACATCTTATTTGGAAGCAAATCAAAAAATGCAATTCAGCTTCAGATAGACAATGTTAACATCAGCAATAAAAATGATGAAAAGTTCCTAGGCCTATACTTAGACAATAGACTCAACTTCAGCACCCACATACAACACATAGCTAAGAAAGTCTCAAAAACAGTTGGTATACTCTGTAAAATCAGATATTATATACCTTACACTGCTCTCCTCTCACTATATTATGCACTAATCTCTCCCTATCTTACTTATGATATCAGTGCATGGGGTTCAACCTCTGCAAACTACCTCAAGCCCATCATCACCCAGCAAAAATCTGCTATCAGAACACTAACAAACTCTGCTTTCAGACAACACACAGTCCCCCTGTTTAAATCCCTAAACATGCTAAACATAACCCTCACTCCACACATTCTCTTGTGCCAATTACATTTACAAAACCCTGTTCTGAAACTCTTCCTGGACAGATGTAATAAAACACAATCACAACACCAGAAATAAATATCTCTTTGATATCCCCAGAGTCAAACTTAATCTGTGTAAACACTCTATGCAAATAAAGGGACCTGATCTATGGAACTCATTCCCTAATGAATTGAAAAGCTGTCAAACTTTTGCCTTAATCAAAAATTAAATAAAAAAAAGTACCTAATTTCATCTTCATAGTTTCCTACCTAGTGCCTGAAACTCGCACTGTATCTAGTGCTACCCAATTCCCCAAAATATGTACCTAAGCCATACAACTTTACCACTGTAATCATTGCTAATCTTGTATCATGTTATACACATAGTTTGCTACATTATATCTTGCAATAATCCTCAAATTATGCTAAAATTTACCAGTGGATAACCCTTAAATTTACTTTAATGTACCTACTTTTTTTTTTATCAAATTTCTTATACAATGTACTTTTTTTATACTTTCTTACAATGCATTTTTATACTTTCTTACAATGTATTTGTATACTTTCTTACAATGTATTTGTATACTTTCTTACAATGTATTTGTATACTTTCTTACAATATATTTTTATACTTTCTTACAATGCATTTTTATACTTTCTTACAATGTATTTGTATACTTTCTTACAATGTATTTGTATACTTTCTTACAATGTATTTGTATACTGTCTTACAATATATTTTTATACTTTCTTACAAATTTTTATACTTTCTTACAATGTATTTGTATACTTTCTTACAATGTATTTGTATACTTTCTTACAATATATTTTTATACTTTCTTACAATGTACCTGTAATTTTTGTTTTTAATTTTGCTAGAAATTACCTTCTTAAAATTATATGTTAGATTAAGGATCTGCCCGAAACACTATGCGTGCTAGTGGCTTTACAAGATTGTAAAACTTCAAGTCTGTACTCTCATAAACCCAATGTACCTTCGTGTATATAAGTAAATAAGTAAATAAATAAATAAAATTACTGTACTGTTAGAAATATCCATATGAAAGTATTATCATTCTTAGCCTATGATGAATTCTCACCAACATTATATTCCAATCTCCAATGTCTTGCCATTTTCTAGTTTTGTAAGATACTAATTGTCGTAAAGCATAATAACAGATAACTGAGCAACATTAATTATTTTACTTAAACTGTCACATTCCTTGAACATGACAAAGTTAATCCTAGGAATAAGAAATTTCTATTATGAATAGAAATTAAGAAAGCTTAATTTACATTGTTTAAAGATAAAGATTAGGAGAGGACATGATTGAAGTATGCAAATGGAGATATTATCTCTAATGGAGATATATAATGGAGAGACATGGTATAACAAGGAGATATTAATAAGATGCAAATAACTTAAATGTCTTAAATGTCCTGTAGATAAGCTTGCATCCAAAAGTGTCAAGCTTGAGTTAAATGTTAAGAGGACCAAACCACTCAGGAATCTGTACATCAGTTGAATGACAGTTGACAGGTGGGACCAAAGAGACAAAGCGCAACCCCCACAAGCACAACTAGGTGAGGACAATGAGGTAAGTACTCACTGAACACTGATGTGATAACTGCTCCTGTGCACGATGACACCATCTGATGAACTGGCTTTAGATCAGACATGATTGGTGGTTTTCTTTCGTCGTCGTCGGTAAAGCAAGCCATAAGTTTACAAGAAGCTGGAAGCCAAGATCGTCATTGTGTCCGTAGCACGCTGAGCTCCAGAAGCCATGATGGAGTGTTTACTCTGGCCGGGTACTTCAAGGTCGTCGCTCCTTCCCATCCACCAACGGTCTCCACTACTTCCATATCCCAACCATTATTCTCAAATAAATAAAATGGTAGCGCATTTATAATAGTCAAAACAGAGATAGTTATTATATATTTTAAATTGGCTTTTATTTGGTAGAAGCGTGTCTGATAGGTGTTTAATGTTTTACTTTTTTTTCGTAGTATAAACAAAAGTAGGCTACTTTTGGCAGATAAGAATAAGTTCATCTAAATCTGCCGAATAGGATCCATTTTAAACTTTCACACTGCAGGTAACATAAGAATATTCTGTTCGTGTTATTCTAATTAGTTGTTCACAATTTTAAATCCAACAACTCTTTTATTTTGCACATAAAAAATACATCCCCACCAATCTCTAATAGTAAAACAACTCAAAGAGCAGTAAAATCGCGGATTTACAATGTCATTGTGGATGTAAAATGCCATTAGAATACTTCTATATATACAATCTATCTGCAGCTGCTGATAAGTTTAATTACATGGATCTTACACCATGTGTTCAGATTAACACACGATCATTCTTGGTAACAATAATGCTAGGCACAAGAACATTGGCAATTTTAATTTCAGTGATAGGAAAGAAAACCAATCGCTCTTATATAGTAAATCAAATCAAATGTTTATTCAGGTAAAGTACATACATACAAGGTGAGATACAAACATTGATAGATTTATAGATAGGGTTAGTACATACAAAATGTGCTAGCCTTATGTGGAATGACCAAAATGACTTTGGAAAGACAAAAATGTGGAATGACCTTCCCAATCACGTCAAAGACTGTCCCTCTCTCAAACCTAAAGCCACTATTACGCAAAGCGTTTCGGGCAGTAGTCACGATGATGAGCAGATTGCTGGCGGCCATGACCCAGGGCATATCAGGGCAGAGCCGGCTGATGCTTGGGCCACCATATCTAGATTTAAGAGTTTTTCTCTAAACACACAGAACAAATCAAAGACTAGATACGACGATAGAGAAGGTCGTGTTGACTTCATGTTCCGTATCTGGCTATACTTACCAGTCTACCAGATTCCATTGAATCCTTATAGGATTTTCCTAATGAGATTTGAAAATCTTATTGCTTCTTAGGATTTTCCCCAGCTCAGTTTTTTTTAATTTGAAGTAATGTCTTAGAATAATAGCCATTTGCTTTCTTGTACTGTTATTTATCAATATCTCGCTTGTATATACAGTAGATACACAAAAATTTCTTTATATTTAGACTGAAGAAAACGTGCATAAAGAAACCATTAATTTAAGAATTAACAATATCCAAATTAGTAACACAGTAGATGGTAATTTTTTTGGTGTTCTCATTGATAACAAGCTGAATTTCCAAGGCCACAATCAAAATATAGCTACTAAAAGTTTTTAAAACAGTTTGGATTCTTTCTAAAATCAGATACTATGTACCTCGTCCTGCTCTGGTAACGCTCTATTACTCTCTCATCTATCCTTATCTCAATTATGGTATCTGTGCTTGGGGTTCTACTACCCAAAATAATCTACGTCCTCTAATTAATCAACACAAATCAGCTATTAGAAAAAAAAGCTCTGACCCCAGACAGCGCTCGGCCCCCTTACATAAATCTTTAAATATGTTAGATATTAAGTCACTGCACATCCTCTCAAGTGTACTCTATATATATATAACTGAACTGTAATGCCAATATTGACTTTAAAAGCTTTCTAGAAGGTTGTATCAGAACCCATGGGCACCACACCAGAAACAAATATATATTTAATATCCCAAGAGTGCGACTTATCCAAACTAGAAATGCTCTGCAAATCAAGGGACCCAAAATGTGGAATGACCTTCCCAATCACGTCAAAGACTGTCCCTCTCTCAACCAGTTAAGAGAAAAACTAAGTACTACCTATAATCAACTCCAAGTAACCTACCTTACCTCCTAAATGTCAACCAATGTCTTGTTATTTTCAAACAATATTGATTATTGACCAACTTGTTGACCAGACCACACACTAGAAGTTGAAGGAACGACGACGTTTCGGTCCGTCCTGGACCATTCTCAAGTCGACCAACTTGTATAACTGCTGATATCTACCATGTAAAAACTTAAATACAATTGTCGTCCGTCTCTTTATTTAGTTAAATATTACTTCTGCTGTTCTGGTGCAATTTCTACTGTTCCATCCAACATGTATTTATTATAATTTTTTTTTCCCCTTTTCCCCCCTATTTCAGTTCAAACTCATGCTTTTGATCTTACTTTGTTTTAAGTCTTAGTTTTTAAGATTTTTCTCACATCTTGCCCAAAACGCTGCGGATGGGCAGCAGTGGATAGGTTACAATCACTGTTACTACCTACAGTTAGCAAACTGGGGATATTTGGCTAAAAGAATGTGGGGAGTAGCCAGTTCTTCTGTTAACCGATTCTCCATCTCAGTACCCAGCATAGGGGGTTTAAAATGAAATGAAAATGTCCATAGAGTTGGCAAGCAGGGGATGGAAGAACGGGGCGAGGTTGCAGAAATCTTGAGCAAGGATCTGGAGATTAGGTGAAGAGGGGAGATGAAAGATCGGTGGCCCAACCACCGCGGATTAGAACTTGAGTAGATAGAAGTAGAATTGAGTAGAGCATAGGGGGAGATGTGTAGAATGTGATATGTTGCAGAGGTGTTACTCTGGCAAGGGTACAGGAGAGACGCAGCGGAACGACGTCCTCACCCGTCGACCGTCTTGTAAACGTTCTTTGTTACGACCGGTGTTTGCTAACTTTGTTGGCAAAACAACCTCCAGGCTTGGCGCCTTCTGTAGATAATTAATCACTTCTTGGGAAAACATTAAGAATGGCATGAAACAGCAACGGCGAGTCTGTCAAAATATGATAGATGGCCGTTCCTCGGTGTATATATAACTGCCAACAATTCTGGGTAGTTAAGCTATCCTGCTGTTACGAGGGGAAGGACACACGCGATAAAGATTGACAGGAGATAGAAGGGAGCAGAAAACACTTTTCCCAAGGAATTAACCTCTGAAAAGAATAAAAAAAATAATTTTGTTCTAATAAGTAACTTGAAAGGTAAAAATAAAGTGCATAGCCAATATAACTATAGAGTGCTAATTATATATTGTCAGGGTTAGTGCTAAATTCTCATAATTACTTAATGTTTTGGACAATTTTATTTAATTTTTTAAAATGTTATCACCTCACTATTGGTTTTTCGAAGACATTTATTATAACTATGTGCTTTTTCTTGTTTAAAGACACGTATTTGAAGTATATTTTGCATTTTGTTTAAAGCCAGACGATCATAGCCTAGTACGCGGAGGCAGGCGTGGCGTGGTACGGGTAAATGATGATTGCTGAGGGTGAAGAGAAGTATACTAGGCTCTGACGACCACGGTGGTAAAGAGAGAAAATTGGCAGGGGAAGGAGGTGGCATGTTAACAATAGATTATTATAGCATATAGTTGTGGATTTATGGAACAAATTTCCGAGTAACATAATAAACGTAGGATCAATTGATTGTTTCAAGCGTAGGTTAGACATATATGAATGAGTTTGGGTGGATATAAATAGGAGCTGCCACGTATAGACCCTCTGAAGTTTCCTTGTGACTTATATTCTTATAACAGTCAGGTCATAAGCGATTGGTCCCGGGTATGACTCCCAGGTAGGCCGAGATGTTTCACCTTTCCTTACACCTGACGTCTCTATTTTTTCTAGCAGCAAATATAGATTCCTTGGAATTAGTCGACTGGAGCGGTGCTGCTCCTGTGCCAGGTAAGTCCACTACGGGCTCACCATAGACCGTGCTACTTGGAACTTGTTCCGAGTAGCTGAATCTATAACAACAACAACAATAATCGACTGTTGTGGGTTGCAACCAGATGTTGGCTGGAGAGACTTCGATAAGACAAATAGGCTTCTTATCCCTGGAAATAAAAAAAAAAAAAAAAATTGGGGGGCGGGGCAATTGATTTTGTTAACTTCCAGCTTTACATAATTACCGTCTTGCCCCCTAGCACTCATCGTGCGAACATCAGCATATATGATGATGATGATGTTTGATAAATGTTAATATATGTTAATTAACGTATACGGTATATATGCAACACTTAGCGGGCCAGCCAGAGGCTTAGGGTCCGCGCAGGAATATACCTGCAAAAAAAAAAGTATACGGTATAACCCTCTGTACTCGTGCTAGAGGTTTCAGGCTCCTGCCCCCTCTCCGAGGCAGTTTTTTGTTAAAAAATTCTCTTTCGGTGTGGAACATAATTTTTTCTTCACCGTGATGTAAACTCTAATTCTTTCGCGTGAAAATGTTTTATTCTCATGAATCTTTGATTAGTTTCTCATTCTCTCCGCCATGATTTAAATTCCTTCCTTCGTTTCATTACCTGGAAAAGATCATCAAGGCAAATGGGGGGGTACCTTCAACAAGCCGCCGGCTTCCTGTCCTCGTGGAGGCCACTAAGGTTATTGGCCCTCAGGTAAATTTATGCAAACTCATTCCCTCCACCGAGATGTAAACTATGATGATGTAAATGTAAACTAAAGATATAAACTACCCACAACTATGATGTAAATTCATTTCCTCCACCATGATATAAACTCATTTCCTTTACTATGCATAAATTCTCATTCACTCCCTTTTAATGACTGTATATCTATGTAACGAAATATAATGATATAAGAAGCGTACAAATTAATTGTAGGTGGAAGTAATTAGATACTAGCCATAACAGAGGTAGATTAACAAATAGATAAAATTCTACCCAAAACAGCGGTAGTTACGATAATGACCATAATTTGAGGTATTTTCATATAAGAAACATAACTGCAGTAGATTATATTCGTCTGAACAGTTATAATTTAAACTTCAGCGTGCAAGAAAGACTTATAAGAAATATTTCGCTAATACCTACAGCTAATTTGTGCCTCACTTATGTCTGATGATTTTACTTGCTATCCGTCGTGGTGATGACGTCACGTGAGCGCAGGAGGTGATTGG